GTAGTAACTTAGTATAGTTTNTTCGTACTTACTACTACCCTACCACTATATATATATATATATATATATATATATATATATATATATTATATCTTGGGGTACATTTCTTGTGGTTCTTTTTTATTTGGTTATTCTTTAACATTCCCTTGTCTTCTGCCCTTCGAGGGCAGTATTTTTTGTACACTGTAATATCTCTTTTACCTTAATGCCAAGTTAACAGATTAAAATGAAAAAAACATTCCCTTGTTTTCATGGGAAATCGTAGATTGGTTTCTCAGTATGAGTTCATGAAGATTTCTTCATAAAACTTTTGGATTCGAGGTGCTAGTTCTATTGAAAGGAAATTGTGAAATCTTAAGGCTTTGGATTACACCCAGCATACATATTAAATTCTAAAAAAAATTACATTTCTTTTTCATTTATGTGGTTTTTGGAGGCTATGATGAACTTCTTGATTTCTTTTTGTCCTTTTTTTTTTTTTTGCTGTTTAAAAGCGTTTGTTGGATATGCAACAATGCTGTTAGTTGCATCTTAACAAGGGGCATATGCCCCTCCTTTGGCAACCTACAGCAAAGCGATAAAAACTTAAACTAGAGCAGTATAAAATAATGTCTAGAATGGTTAATGCTTGAATGTAATATCATATGTAGAGTGCTTGAGTATCTGAAGTATGTCATTTGTTACAAAATGTGATTGTACTTTTGTTGATATTTGGGAAGGTCCTATGGTGCTACGCATGATCATTTCTTGTGAAACGATAACTTCGTTACTTTCAGTAATATTTCATTACACGGGCTCACCCCTTCTTTTCTTTTGGATAATTTTGGCTAAACAGATATTAATAGAAGGAAATTCTAATGTGAGGATATTGATACTAAATAGGCCTTGGCAATTGAATGCTCTGTCACATCAAATGGTATGTTCAAAAATTTTCTTGTAGTGGTTGCTTCTTTATTATCATATGTTTCTCCCATGGGTCTTTCATGGTTTCTTCAAGGCTTATTTCATTTGGGATTGGTGTTGTCTTATATGATTATTCATCAATGTCATTAGTCAAGTTCTTTTGTTAATGCTTTTCACTTGGAATGCATCTTTCATAATCTAAGCTGATTTAGTGCAATTTGATATCTTTTCAAACTATTCTTCTTGGATCTAACTGACAAAATAAGGAAGTGAAATACGTTCAGGCTCATAAAAAACACGATCTTTCAAGAAATTATCAAGGCTTTCTTGCCATGGTAATTAACTCTAAAAAATATAGCTTACTCGAAAAGATGGAGCCTCTTGAATATCTATGGCATTGTCTTCCCTGTCTGACAATGCAAATTATCATGATGCCCTTGATGATTGATTTTCAGATATCTGGGTTACTAGAGAAGTTCCTAACCTATGAGGAGGATCCTAATGTCAAACTATTAATTGTTAAGGTATGGCCCTTTTGGAATCAAGTTCTTTTCTTCTATTTATTTTTTATTTTTTCCTTTTTTTGACGTGTTAGTATAGGTAGGAATGGAAGCCAAGATGTCAAGTTGTGGCTCTACCGCTCTGACTACCCGGGTCTTGGGTCCATTCCTCTTTTGGAGCGAAGTTCTTTGATTCATAGCACCAAATAGTGACAATCTCTCAGTTAACAACCAGTAGAAATAGGACACTTACTTGGTAGCTAGCTTGAGTTCCCATGAAGCACAATGAAATTTCAATGTGTTGTAAGCAATAGGTATGTCTCCTAAATGCATCTTTTCCATTTTATTTTTTTTGCATAAAAAGATATTTTTTTGTTGTGAATCAAATGACAAACATGAAATACTGTGCATGTCTTAGTTTTCTCCCCAAATAAAATTCCTCACCTCTGATTTTGTATGGCAATAAAAAAGAAATGAGGAGCAAAGAATACTTAGTTGCTGGAATCCCACTGGCAACTAACATTTCCACCCAGAAAATAAGCTTCCTTGGCAATTCCCAAGGAGAAAATTATCGTTGTGTCCATCCCTGCTCCATTTCAGAAGACTTATGATGTATTTGTTGAAAATTTAATCGTGCTCTCTCTCTCTATCTGTGACTTTGATGTTTGCAGGGACAAGGGAGAGCATTTTGTTCTGGTGGTGATGTTGCATCTGTGGCTCGCTTGGGCAATGAAGGTAAAACCTTTTTGTGATTCTCAGTTGGCATATGATATTTTAAAGAATATGCCTATTGGTTTAGAGTTTAGACCCCTGAGTTACAATAGTAGTTCTTCAATGTACTTATTATAGTATTAATTTTCTAAGTACTAAGTTATTTTGTAATGAGCCAACATGCTGAGATTTCTTCGATCATTTCATATTTTACATTGACTGTAGAAGATTCCACCACTTTTCCTATGTCAGGTCGCTGGGATTTGGCTGCGAAATTCTTTTGGGAAGAATATGTCTTAAATTTTACCTTGGCAACAAATATGACTCCCCAGGTAAGCTCATGCACCGTTCCTTTGGCAGTGTTTTTTTTTAGCTATATAAAATAAAATAAAATTCCTTTACATGGCCAAGTCTGAATATATATTCTTCATAATGAAAAACATCATTGAAGGTTTCACTTCTCAATGGGATTGTGATGGGAGGTGGTGCTGGAGTTTCCATACATGGGAGGTTCCGAGTTGTCACAGAAAAAACTGTACTTCTCTATCTTTGTCTTTTAATCAACATTTTATGCTCTACTTCGCTGGAATACTGATCTCTTAGGAAAAAGTATAACCTTACATTGTGTTAATGTGAAATTTAACATGTCAAGTATTTCAGGTTTTCTTTGTGAAGGAGTATGCTATTATTTGCTCTATATGTTCCTGTTAAAAGTCCTATATTGGTCCTGTTAATTTTGAGACCATGTGTCATTCTAGGTTTGGTGTTTTGGGATTTATTTGTTCAGTCTTTATGATTGATCTTTTTAAGGATTTTATGTCGCATAGGTCTTTGCAACGCCAGAAACATCGCTTGGACTCTTTCCTGATGTGGGTGCAACCTATTTTCTACCTAGGCTCCCGGGTTTCTTAGGTACAATTTCAAACATAAACATTGTTGTTTTCTGTTCTTCATATCCATCTTGGGTTTTTTGGGTTCTCTCGGATAGATAAAAATAGGACGAAGGATCATATCCAGTTTCATAGGAAGTGTAAACAAAGGGCTGTGTAACTTTAAAAAAAAGGAATAAGGAAAACATTCAGAAACATATAATAAGAGAAGGCTGTCCACAAGTTTCCAACTGAGAGGTGCAAAAGAAGAGAAGAGGATGATGAAGGGAAAAAAACGACTGTTACTATATTGAGATTATCCTGATGGCCCTTTGCACCAATACCAGGAAATAATAGGAATGTCAATCCTCCATTTCTTGATATTTATGGAAATACATATTCAGTTGAAACCCTGACTTGTTGGTGTAGAGAACCACGTACTTCATCATATCTTTAGTTATTTTTATTATAACCTCTATTATGTACATTAATGGTAGATAGAACATGGGAGATTTCTGCATAAAGAGTTTATCTCTATTATGTACATTTATGGTAGATTGAACATGGGAGATTTCTGCATAAAGAGTTTATATTTCTTGATAATGTATGTTAATTCTCTCTGGCTAGGTGAATATGTCGGCCTCACTGGTACAAGATTGGATGGTGCCGAGATGCTTGCATGTGGCCTGGCAACGCACTTTGTCTTTTCCTCGGTACCTTTCTTCATATTTCCTCCACCTTTTAGCTTTATTGTTTTCCTCTCTGTTTTTTCTTTTTTTAAAGGACAGGTCATACCAAGAGATCACTCATTCTAGTGGTAGTCTGGTACTCTTACTTTGGCACCAGAAAAGTAAATTATAACCCACTGGACTATTGGAATTCATAGTCTATCCATTAGGGTCATCATTCTCCATTGAAATGATGGATAGTGGTGGAGAGTGGGACTACCAGCATGAACCCAACTGGTGTGTCTCACTGATTGTCCATCACCCTCGTTTATTTCATCGTACAGTGATGACCCCAGTGAACTATGGTTTCTTACACCACACTTTACCATGTTACAATGCCATGTTGATTTTCCATTTTTGCATAGCTTATGATGTCACTGTGGTGGCTTGCTTTTTGTCACTGAACAGAAATTGGCTTCCCTAGAAGAGGAATTGTCTAAGGTGGATACCTCCAACCCAGATATCATTTGTACTGTTATCGATAGGTTTTCGCAAAAAGTGCCTTTGAAGGAAGGCAGTGCTTTCAGGAGGCAAGATCTCAATTTATTCTTGAACTTTTCTTGATTGAGATGACAGTATTTTGCTCTCCTCTGTGCACTTGAGAATTTTTTCATTTACCTTTTTTAATGGTTCAAAATAGTAGGATAGGCCTCTCGGAACATGACCGTAGCAATCCATGTGCGTGTCTTTTGCTTTGTTTTTTAAATAAATGATATTGAAATGTATGTAACTGATTACTTGTATGGGAGCATTATTTCCTTGGCACATGCTGAATATCTTTTACGGTGGTTCTTGCAGACTGAATGTTATCGATAAATTCTTCTCTCAAAGAACAGTTGAGGAAATTCTATCTGCTCTTGTATGTAATTTGAAGAGCCGACTAATCTCTAATTTGGGAGTATGGAAAACCATAGTTCATTAGGTTCATAAACGTTTACTGCAATGATGGATGTTGATGGGCAGTGGGATCCATTATTGGGGTCGTATCCTGTTCTTGAGTGGTCTCTATTTCCTCTACTGTTCAGTATTTGATCAACCACTGATGATCCCAGTGGACCTAGAGTATATGATAGTCTATTGGATTGCAGTATAATTTTATAAGTTTCATGGTTTATTATCTAGTTTTAATAGCAGAAAAATATTCACTATGGAACCCCTTTTAGGTTTTTAATCTGAATGTTACCTTCATGTTTAGGAGAAGGAAGCTGCCAATGGAGCAGATGCATGGCTTTCTGCCACAATTAAGTCATTAAAGGCTGCGTCACCAACGAGCCTTAAGATTTCTCTCAGATCGGTAATTACCTGCTTCTCTTGATTGGGAATTTTGGCTGTGGGGGAACAGTTAAGATAGGACATTTATGGATGAATGGACGATCATATTTGATAGGGCAGATTGTTGCATTGGTATTTAATGATTTATTAAAATAAGAATTTGACTATCATTTGATTGTATAGGGAAAGGAAGGTAGAACAGACGGAGCAAAAAAAAAAAAAAGAGAAATTTGATTATCTTGGTCAGCTTAAATAAGTTTTTGTTCCAATAGGATGCCCCATAGAATCGCTACAGGGTCCTGCTTTTCTTTTTTTTGGTTGTGAAATTCACTTTGCAAAATCTGCTAATGCTTTTTTACTTAGTATTCTGTCTGTGTTTGTCAACCAGATCAGAGAAGGTAGGCTGCAAGGTCTCGATCAGTGCCTCATCCAAGAGTACAGAATGGTTTGCCATGTCTTGCGCAAAAAATTTAGTAAAGATTTCTATGAGGTAGCCAACAATACCAGTTTTCATTCGCACTCCTCTCTCTCTCTCTATACCCCCGTCCTTTAAACATGTCAGGCTTCTGCGTACTTTGAATAAAATCCTTATTCCAGTTGTTTGAATTAGTATTCATTTATCGAAAGATGATGTCAAATAAAAGTGACATTCATTTGCAGGGCTGCCGGGCAATCTTGATAGACAAGGACAGAAACCCAAAGGTAAGATATATATCTGATTTTGATACCTGTCTGTTCTCTCTTTCGTTGTCTTTTCTTTTCATTCTACAGCTATTTAGTTATTTTTCGTTGCACATCAAGAAAGAATAAAGGAAAGCCAGGAAAGCTAGAAAATCCCACCATAAGTAACAAAAGCAAATACTTGGCATTGGAACGTGTAGTTTTGGAGTGTATCTAATATGATAAGTTCTTTTATTTTACAGTGGGAGCCCTCCAAGCTGGAGCTAGTGAGTGAGAAAATGGTCGATCATTACTTCTCCAAGGTCGATGAAGAGAAATGGAGAGATTTGGAACTCCCTCGAAGGAAGAACACAAAAGACATCTTTGCTAGACCTAGACTTTGAAGATGTTGGGGTGACACTACTACCTTATGTATGCATTATTAAAATAAGTAAAAATGTATCTTGTATTGAAGCCATGGATATTCGAGTTCTTTAATAAAATTAATTAGTTGCCCAATCTCAATAGCTGGATTTCATTGCAAGGCAGATAATTATAATTCAGTGAACTACGGAAAATGCGATGCATTAGTGTCATAGTTGTCCAATGAAATGATGGGCGGTTGTAGAAACAATGAGACCTACAAGAACAGGGTGTGTGGCCCTGTTGGCAGGCCTCTCTCTCTCTCTCAGGCTACTAGATTATAGCATGCTTTCCGTTGTAGTAATGGTTGCTTGTCTCGAACTCTTAGAAATGTCTCAAGGAATTATTTGAAAAATAATATGAATTCTAAATGAATTCTTGAAAAAGCAATATGATAATGCACAGGGTGGACTGATGCCCTCTTTTACCAAAAGTCCCGACATGAACAAGACCCATCTCTGAAATGATGGAACCTGCTTCGATCCCTTATGATAATATCCCTTTTGAAAACTCTCGAAACCAACTTAAATGCAGTGTGGCAATCCCCACAAACCCGAAGGTTCTTTAGTATCCGAATTGGATCCCCCTTCTTTGTCTTGATAAGCCCAAAGCAGAGTGCCAATTTCTCGCTATGCCAATAAAGTGAGCTTTCCTTCTCTTCCTCATCTAGATTCAACAAGACTTGAGACCTCTCTGCAACGTACCCTTCCAATTTTAATCTCTCCATGACATAATTCAGCATTGGTTCAATGCTTTCTGACTCAGGGTGCGACTTATCTCCCACTAGAAATTCATGAACAAATCCTTCGATTTCAATTATGCTACATCCCGGGATCTTTCTCACTCCTCTCTCATGCATCATCTTTCTGATGAGCTTTACATCCTCCCATCGAGTAAACCCTGCATAGATATTCGAGAGAAGCACATAATTTGCATCGTTTTGGGGCTCAATCTCAAGGAGCCTCTTTGCTGCCAGCTCACCCAACTCGAGATTGTTATGAACCCTGCATGCACCAAGCAAAGCTCCCCAAACCGCACCATTTGGTTCCATTGGCATCTTGTCTATGAGCTCCATGGCCTCAACGAGAAAACCAGCTCGGCCGAGCAAATCAACCATGCATCCATAATGCTCGATTTTTGGACTTATTTTGTGTTTCTCTCTCATCTCTTTGAATTTTTGCCACCCCATTTTAACAAGACCTCCATGGCTGCAAGCTGTTAGAACCCCAATAAATGTGATATTATCTGGCTTGATTCCCTGTTCTTGCATTGAAGAGAAGGCATTGAGAGCCTCTTTGACAAGGCCATGGTGAGCTAGGCCAGAAATCATGGCATTCCAAGAAACCAAGTCCTTTGCCTTCATGTTTTCGAAAATATGGTGAGCTAAATCAACTGACCCACATTTTGAATACATGTCTATTAGAGAATTCTGCAAATTTACAGTCAAATTTATCTGGTTTTTATCGATATAGGCATGTACCCACGTGCCAGAATTCAAATCTCCAGCCTGTGCACAAGCCAAAAGCACTGCTATCATGGTTACTTCATTGGGTCTTACACTTTCAGAAACCATTTTTTTGAACAATCTCAGAGCCTCGAAACATTGGTTATTTTGCACATAACCCAATATCATGGCAGACCAAGAGACCACATTTCTTTGAGGCATCTCATCAAACATATTTCTGGATTCATCAATCCTTCCACATTTCGCATACATATCTACCAAACAAGTCCCAAGAACCGTGCAAACTTTGAGGTCTCGGTTTTTGATATAATGATGAATCTTCTGCCCAAATTCAATGTCCTTCAATTCTGCACAGGCAGAAAGAACAGTAGCCATGGTCACTTCATCTGGCTCATAACCTTGTAATTCCATCTCAGAGAAGAGCAGCAAAGCGTCTTTAGCATAACCTTTTTGTGCATAACCAGTGATCAAAGTTGTCCATGCTATAGAATTCTTAGCACCCATTCTTCCAAATAGCTTTTCAGCTGAGTATAAATCCCCAAAATCTGTATACATTTTGATCAGAGTGGTTTCTATGTAAAGGTCTAAATTGAGTCCAAATTTAACAGTTTGGCCATGTAAGGCCTTGCCTGTTGTGAATTCCATTAGTTGGGCACTAGCCTTGAGTAATGATGGGAATGTGTAGTTATCTGGGTAAGTGATGGATTCATGGATCATATTCAAATATACCATGATTGCCATTTTTGGAAGGTTTTGAACCAGAGAAGCTCTGATAATGGTGTTCCATGCTACTACTTTGGGGTGGTCTACATAGGTGCAAACCACCATGGCATAGGCCAAGTTTCCAAAATTGGAAAGGGAGGAGATGAACTTGGCGAGGGCACCGGTGTGTTTGATGAGTCCTGTTACTGTCATTTGAGCATGAACTTGTTGGAGTTGCTTAACTTCAGTGAACTTTGTTTCTAAAAGTGGAAAGAGATGGTGGGTTTTCATAGACAGGGAGTTGCTCTCAGAAGTTGGTATCAGTTTGTGTGGAAGTGAGAGAGATGCAGACATCATACTGTTAATTGATTTGAAGATATCTGAAGAAGCTTTTAGGTCAATAGTTCTGGCTGGATATTAATATGTGCAATGATTTGAGAGAGAGAGAGAGAGAGAGAGAGAGAGAGAGAGAGAGAGAGAGAGAGAGAGAGAGAGTAGTAGTATATTATTTATTATTAGTTAGTAGTAGTAGTAGTCGTACGTGTCGTACGTAGTACGTAAGGTAAGTAAGTAGTAGTAGTAGTAGTAGTAGTAGTAGTA